CCCGAGGAGTCCATGCGCAGGGTTCAGACCCACAAACCACGAGATCATGACCTGAGTCAGATTCGGACACTTAACCGACTGAGCCACCCAGGCGCCCCGGGATTGGTCCCTTTTGAGGGAGAATGTGTCCCACGCCTCCCCACTGGCTTCAGCCGTGTGGCCATCCCAGGCCATCCTTGGCATTCCTTGGCTGGAAGCTGTATCACCCCGGTCTCTGCCTGCATTGTCACGGGGCCTCTCTGTAAATCCCTGTGTGTCCTCTCCTCCTCTTATAAGGACACCAGGCATTGGATTTAGAGCTCACCCTAACCCGGCTGACTTCACCTTAACTTGATTCCTTCTGCAAAGACCCTGTTTTCGGAGCTTCCAGGTCGGGGTGGGCAAATTGGGTGGAGATATGGGCTTATGGTGAGAGAGAGAGAGGACGTGGGAGCTTACCCCTTCCCAGCCACCTTGCCCTGTGCCTCTCTTCCATTCAGCTGTTCCTGAGTTCACCTTGTTTTTCTAATGGCTGGTGACCCAAGCAGATGAACCACTTTGCATTCCTGCCACAGTCCCAGCCTATGGGGGGGGAGGTTGCCTTTACATCCTCATCAGCACTTGTATCATCAATATTTTTTTCTGGCTATTCTGATGGTGGTAGTGTTGTGTGAGTATGTTTACACCACTTGGGGAGTGTTGCTGGGGACATCTGAACTACTGTGATGCGGAGTCTGGATAAACACAGGCTCCTGCCAGGAGCCATTTCCTAATTGCCTCCCTGGGAAAAAGCCAATATTTTGTCGGGAATTGTTAGGTAATACTGATGAATTGAAGGCACCCAAAGAGCCAGAAACAGATCTCTGGGGAAGTGAGAGTATGTCCTTTCTTTGCACAGCCCCAGACACTCTCCCAGCAATTTATCTGATGCCGTTTAATATCAGTGGCAGTAATAAAACACTATTTTAGTGGGGGGGCGGGCGGGCGGGGGGGAAGAGCCTATCTCCAAGTAAGGTCACACTGCCAGGTACTAGGGACAAGGACCTGAACGTATTTGGAGGGCGCGCGCAATTCAACCCCCTACGCGTGACTTGCATGGTAGTGTGGTAAAGCATTGGGGTTTGAGGTCATGGTGAACGGGGTCCAGGTACTGGCTCAGCCATTCACCCGCTTGGAAGGCAGCTATGCTCTCTACTGTACTGGAAACACCACCTGTCACTCAGACCAGTAGAGCTCGAAGCAATCTCCTAGCCTGATTGAGCCATAGTACCCTCATCTGGAATGTGGTAATAACATTTACCGCCAGAGGAGGCTGCTGGGGGGGTCATATATGGCAGTAAAGTATATGTAGCATGCTTTGCCATGATTGGTGTATAGGAATCATCCATGAATGACCGTGGTCATTACTGTTTTAACTGGGCAGGTCACAGTCTGAGTAACAAGACATCCTGGGGGATCCCAACCAAGAGGCTGAGCACAGAGGTGGGGAATCTGATGGAGACCATACCTGGGAACGCGAGGAGGCAGGTGGAACCAGAATACCGGACACATGGAGCAAGCTGGGGCTCGGGGGGCAGATCCTTCCCTGGGGAGGACCCCTGGCTTAAGAGAAGGCTGATCAGCAATAAGTTGCCAGAGGTGGGACCACGGTCACAAGTCTGTTCCCGGAGCCGGGTTCCCCTGGTTTCACTTTCTGGTACGAGGCGAGTATCCAAGCAGCAGCCAAGAGGGCGGGATGCTAAGGGCCAGACTGTGGAGCTGTAGCTGGGTAAGTGGTTCTTGCCTTCGGTTCTGGTTGTTGGACACACGGTGGAGCAAATGGCGACAAGTGGCCGCGCACAAGTATGGCGTAGAGTAGGAGAGGCTGGAGCCAGGTGCGTCCTGACAGATTCTTGGTAAGGGAGAGCTGCTTATGGGGATGACGTAATGCCCAGGAAGGGTTGTCCGGCCCGTTTTAGAGGTATAGGAAAGGTATGGAAAGGTCCTCAGGCAGATGGGACCAACAGATCACCCGAAAGACCAATGAGCGTGCTGGACAAGTCAGGTTTGGTTTGGCCAAGGGCATGATTGCTGTGAATATGAGGGCAAGGCCCTTGGACCTTCTTGCAGCCTCAGTTTCCCTCCATAAGAAATAGAGGTTGGAATCGAGGTTTCTGAAGGTCTCTCATCTAGCTCCGACAGCCCACGATTTTACCAACCATCCTCAAAGAAAACTGGCATGAGTGGGAAGAGCCTGCCAAGATTGGGCCTTTCGTTCTGAGTAATGAGCTGAAACAGCAGAGGCTTGACATCTGTTCCCCTCTTTCAAGGGAAGCTGGACAAAATAATGCCTTTTAGCAGCGAAATCGTAACCAACGGTGAAATGTAGTGTTTCCGGCCGCAACACCAGCTTTCCTGAAGCCCCAAGGGAGAACACACATCAAAACCCCCTTGAGGAAGGACAGGTTGACCAGCTGACTCTCTGCCGTAAGCACAGAATGCCGTGGACGCCCGCCTCCCAGCATGCGAGAGCCGGAGGACCGGAGGCTGGTGGGAAGATCCTGAAGGTTCCGTGATCCCCAGTCACTAGCCCTTTCATCCAACTTGCCATCAAAGCCAAAGGAAGACTGGCACCATCGACTTTGAGGTTCTTGCCAGGAACCCACTCCAAGCCTCAGAGGCCATTCCCAGAGGCCAGCTCCAGATGAGCAGTGACGATGATGTTGGAGTCAGAGCAGGGCCCCTCAAAGCAATGTGCTTTGAAGGGTTGGGGCCAGGGGAAGCCAAGTTCTAGAATCAGAAGCCCACTACACTCCTGTCATGCCAACATTATACAGGATCCTAGAACGAGCACCGAAAGGAACCTTCCAGCATGCCCCACCCTGGCCGCCACCCCTTTGAGTCCCAGCAGCATCCGCCAGCAGGGGCTCACTTGACAGGAAGCTCCGTAAGAGCGGGAGCTGGGACTCCGGCTCAGCCTTGCATCCCAGACCGGAGCGTAGTAGGTCTTGAGAAGACACATATTATTCACTCTGCACCTTCCCTGATAGTTCTCTCCTTTTGTCGCATTCCTTTGTACACACCCTGAACTGACAGGGCTCCAGGGAGCCACTCAGCATTTCATCTTCCTCTGCCTTCCAAGCTAGGCAAGTTCCGACTCACGCGTTCAGACATTTACAAAAGGAAGGTCCCAGTATGAAACGTCCTTTGTATTAGGCTCCTCCTCCCTGTCTGTCCCAGGTTCCAAGGTTCGCTGAACCCTTGGGCTCCCAATGTCAATAATCGGCTGAGGGGGCTGCCGCTGAAAGGAAAATCATGGGGGTTGCAACGTCAGGGTTGTGTGTTCGTCAGCGCCCTCCGCCCCCAGCCCGGAGTACCTCCAGAGTCTTTTACGAGCTGGGGTTCTACCCAGATTAGCCTTCCCTTCCTTGAATCTGATTTCAACTTGGTTGTTGGTTCCTGTTCTAGGATTGGTGAAGTCAGAGTTAGTGTTAACAGTTACCATTTAGGAAACAATTTGTATAATGTCCATCTCCCCCACCAGATTGTAAGCCCAGAAACCATGTCTGTTTGGCTGAGCTCTGCATCCCTAGTGCTTGGCGGAGCTCATAAAACGAATGAATGAGCGCATGAATGAATGAATGAATGAATGAATGAAGCTGGGCCACGCCAATGGGTGGCTGCCTAGACACATTGCCTTGGAAAGAGATCTCAGAAGCAGCCACCCCGCCTTTGCAAAAAGGTCTTTAGTACTGGTCTTTAGGACCCGAGCTCCCTCTCTGTTCTGCCCACACCTGAGATAGGGAAGTGATAGCTTGATTCACATTCTGATATGTAAATAGCCACAGGAGCCCTCCCAGAGGAAAACGCTATTAACTAACAAATATTCTAGAGGCTGAGAGGGGGCTTGGGAATGGACAAACAAAGCAGTAAATCAGCTACAGTCCCAACTGCACTTAGGAACTCACTGGTAAATAGGCAGATAAGACAAAAAGTCACATGGCCACACATCCTGCATTCAACCTCAGCAGGTTAGGACCTTACCGTGGGGCAGAGCGAGCTTCATGGGAGTTTAGAATTGGAGGCTATCAGGGAGGGCTTCTTGGAGGAGGTAGCCTGTGCAAAGAAAAATCGTAGGTGGTAAGAGACAGCAGGGAGAGGGCATTCTCAATAGGGCACAATGTGTGCAAATCGGGGAGGTGAAAAAGGGAATGTGGTCATCAGGAAGCAGTTACATGGGGTCTCATGTAGCAGGAGAGCAGTGGGGTGGAGGCTGGAAAGGTGGGAGAATGAGGGATTATAGATTTTTAATCAGGAAAAGCTCAGACCGAAGAGACAGACCTGTAATTATTACCCTCATTAAAATTGTGGTGAGCTAACATTGGCCAACATAGGAACATTCCTAGCCTTCCCCACCCCCTTCCTTTCTTCCTCTGCTTTGCTCTCTTCCCTCCCCTCCCCTGTGGAAGAGGGCTCTGGACTTATCACTCCTTCCAAAGAGGGTATTATTTTTGCCCAACTGGTTTTGGGGGGCTGTTAGGATGTACAGAATATCCAGAACAGAGCGAAGCAGTCAAGATGTGGAGAGGAGAGGAAAACAGATTCAAATAAGGTTGGTTGTGGATTCATGATGTTTGAAAGTCACAGAGAAAGAGCAGGAGCTATTTTTGAAGGTTTGTGGATTGCTGAACTATATTTATTTGACAAAACCCCATTTTGAGAATGAACCCCCATGGGTTACAGCTTTAATAGGGTTCCATTCTCTGCATGTCGATACTGCTGTCCTCTTCCTGGAGGCCAAGAGCTCTTGGAGAACGGGGTCAAGTCTAATTCATCGTGGTCTCCCCAGGATGCTGGGCATGGCCTGGCGCAGGACAAAGGTTAGTAAAAGTTGAAACTGAAGAGTGCGCAAGTGACCCAAGGCACAGACGACGGGCTCCATTCCGCTCCCTTACCCTCCCTCCTCCAGGAAGAGGTGTCTGTCCCCTGCTAGTCTGAGGCTTTGTTCTTACGTCTGTCTGTGCATATCTCTCTCACTGCAGAAGGCAGATCTGGCCGTGGCCCCCCTGACCATCACCCATGTCCGCGAGAAGGCCATCGACTTCTCCAAGCCCTTCATGACACTCGGTGTGAGCATCCTGTATCGAAAACCCAATGGCACCAACCCTAGTGTCTTCTCCTTCCTCAACCCGCTGTCCCCAGACATCTGGATGTACGTGCTGCTCGCCTACCTGGGTGTCAGCTGTGTCCTCTTTGTCATTGCCAGGTAAGGGTAATGCCTTGGCCAGGGCTCTGGCCCAAGGTTGGGATTTTAGGGAGCCAGACTGGTCCCTACATCCTCAGTCCTTCACACAGAAGGCCCACGTTTAAGGCCACTGTGCTGCCTGTCCCTGTGTCCCTTACCGAGGCTCAGATCCCTTTACATCCTTCAAGCAACATTCCATAGCACCCTGGGCGTGACTCCCCCAGGCCTTACTCTAGTCTGTGTCCACGACTGGGAGGCAACTGTTGTATCCCAGGCCCTGGGAGCCGGTTAAGCCATCACCCAGAGCTGCTCACCTGGGCCAGGCACCCAAGTACGACAGACTCAGGTGCACTGGATGGTCCATGGTGGTTGGTGGGAGGAGGTCACTAGGGGGCGGGTTCAGCTTGGTGTTTACTGAGCACCTGGCGTCTGCCAAGCACTGTGCTCTGGAACTTAGACCCATTGTCTTAAGTGATTCTCTCAGTCCGCCATGAAGGGGAGACGTCTGAGGCTCACAGAGGTCCCATGTTTGCCAAGGCCATCCTGGCAATAAGTGACACATCGGGCATTTGAACTCTGGTCACCCGGCACTTTATGTGTGACCCACATCTCTGACCACCTGGACGTTTGTCCTTTGCCCCTGCCCCAAGGTGGCAGCTCCCGGGCCCTGGGCCCTCTGCCCCCTCCTTCCAGACTCCGGCCCCAGCCCCTGCCCTGGTTCCTTTTTCTCTAAATCCTAACGAGGTGCGAAGAGGGGCTTCTCTAGAGAGGCAATTTGAGATCCAAGGACTTGGTGTTTTGGCCTTTTTTTTTCTTCCCCCTCCAGAGTCTTCTTTGAAAGCCTTCCCCCCACCCCGCTCCCTTTCACTCCCTCCTCCCGCACAGAGAGAGACCAAAGGGAAGGATGTGAGGGATGAAATCTGCCTGCCTCGGAAGCCCTGGGCTGCCAGCTGGCCGGTGCCGCCTGCCTGCTCTGCCCAGCCCGCCTGCCACGGAGAGGCCTTTATCACGCCTCTTTCTCTAATGGCCTAACAAGCCTTTGAAAGCAGGAGCCACTCTCCAGAGCTCTTACTATAATTTTAGCAGCTCCAGCCCACTCTCGGCTCCCCACCCCCTGCAAAACAGGGCCAGTTTCTCTGGCGTTCCTTCCGCCCATTCCGTGTGCGGCCAGTCCCCCTCCAGCCCCTGGCCTTTCAGCCTGCTTTTCGCCTCCTGCCTCCCGGCGAAGAAGAAAGGGGCCCCCTTGCCAAGGTTAGGCTGGGGAGACTTTCTGGAAGAGATGGGATTTCTGCAGCTGCTGGAATGACAGGACAGGAGAGGGGCAAGGGACCCGGTCACAGAGCCGCGAACAGGGTCATAGTACAGTTGGCACGTTAGGTAACACACATGTTACACCCTTCCCGTCTGATCCTTAGAAACGTCTAGGGAAGTGGGTATAATTCCCCCCACTTTGCAGAAGTAGCCAACGAGGTTCAGAGCGGCTAAGTCGGTGCCTAAGGTCAGAAAGCTTTTTCTTGCAGAGTTGGGTCCCAGAGCGAGGCCTGTCAGTTTGAAGTCGGGTGGCAAACACAGGTGCCCGTGGGGCTGGACAGGAAGCGAGAGGGAGGGAAGCAGGGAGGGGGAGAGATGGAAGCAGACTGGAGGACGCTCCCCTGGGGAGGACAGCCTCTCTGGGCTCCAGCAGACGGCACTGGGCAGGAATGCGGGGCCAGAAGGGCAGATTTCATGGTTTTTAGAGACACATGTAGATTCTTCAAGGTACAACTCATGACTTCTATAGGTAGCCGCTAACTTGATTTTTTTACAACACTGTCAGGGTCAAGCCCAGCACATCCATAGGCTAGAGGTGGCCCTCTGTCCCCCGTCCCATGTGTCCTGTGTCCTTTAGACCGCTCCACGTTGGCTGCTGGAGAGCTGGACACAGCTGCCCCAGAGGTGGGGTCCGTGAAGTGTGGGCAGGTCCCCAGGCCCACTTCAGAGCCGCTCTGCTGTGTCGCACGACCGTCCGTCTTGTAAAGTGGCCTGGCCTGTGTCTGTCGGGCACCAGGAGTCGAGGCATTAACCAAGGCCTTCTTCCGCCACCACAATGTTCTGCTTTATGCCTGGAGAGGTAGGACAGGAAAGGAGGGAGTGTGCCTTCTCACAGAGGACAGGACTGCCGGCACTCGTCAGCAGAGGGGTGGTAAAAAGCACCTATGAAGTCATTACAGGGAGTTAGGCAGATCTGGAAGAACTGATCTGGAAAGAGGCTGGTAACTTATTCAGTGGAAAATCCAAATTTTAGGGAGTACTATGGTATGATTTTTTGTGTGTTTAAAAAGTATCACAGGTACCGTGTATGTAGGCACACAGGACTGGGGGGGTCTCGTCAGAAATCATCTTTATCTCCCACCCCACCTCCCAGTGTGTTCAGAGGTGAGGCTGTCCTTGCCCTCGGTGAAAGTTCTTTCGGGACCTGCCACTTTTTGGCCCACTTCCAGGTCTCAGAAATCCTAGGTCTCTCTCCAACCACAAACACTGTTTCAATTCAGAAACTAGAAGGTTGAGGGGCGCCTGGGTGGCTCCGTCGGTTAAGTGTCCGACTCTTGGTTTCGACTCAGGTCGTGATCTCGCGGTTGGTTGGTTCGAGCCCTGGGTCGGGCTCCGTGCTGATGGTGTGGAGCCTGCTTGGGGTTTTCTCTCTCTCTCTCCCTCTCTCTCTGCCCTTCTCACTCTCTCTCCCTCAAAAATAAATAAATACAAACTTAAAAAAAAAATCAGAAAGTTGAGTCCAGTATAGTCCTCGACATTTCTAGACATTTCTACATTCGTTCACAAATCAGACTTCTCCCCTCACCTGCACCTGGGCTCGCCTGGGCAGTGCCTCCTCTGTCGGCCTGCTCCCCCGCTCAGCACCCAGCCCTGCAACAGCCCAGGCCCCGTGGCTTCTCCCTGTTACGGTCCTGTCACCCGTCTCGGATAGGACCCAAGGTGGAGCCGGGCCCATCTGGTCCAGGGAAGCCCTGTTGGCCCAGGGTCCTTACACCTGGCTGTGTCTGGGCACGCAGGCCAATGCCATGCAGCAGGGACTTGCCCTCCTGCGTGCATCCATGAGGCACACCTCAGCCACACACACATGGACCCGGGCGGTGGTCCACCTTGTTACAGAGCCGCCTGCTGGGCTCCCCCGGCAGTCCCGTGGGAACCCCTCTCCCCAGACTTCACGGGGAGATCTGAGGACCGCTGAATGCGTGGCTCTCCAGAGGTCTCTTCCCCAGAACCTTCCCACAGCAGCCTCCGCCTCCACTCGCCTCGGGCTTCATTCTCTTCCTTCTGGATTTCTAGAGCCCCTAGCCAGTTTGTGGCCACTGCCTTTGAATATCCCCGTCTTGGTTGGAAGCCTCCCTTTAAAATTTCACGCGGGTAGGATCTTCCCACCTTGTGAGGACAAAATTCTTCTCACGCGAGCTTTGGCGATCAATGTATAATTCATTAAAGCTTTTAAAGAGGGGGCTGGAAAAGTCACAACAGCATGCTTAAAGCGTATCGTACATTAAAAAACAAAACAAAATTCCCCTGGACACGTCTCTCCTTCTGGGTCTCTCGTCTCAGCATTCTACCCCACGCCAGCCACGCCAGCCACGCCAGCCTCTTGGGGACCGTCTCCACGGGCTCTCAGTCTCCCCCCCAGGACTCTAGCCTCCTCCGGCTTTACACTTCCTCAACTGCAACACTTTTGCCATAAACAAAGATCCCTCCAACTGCAACCCTTTTGCGATAAACAAAGATCCCTCCGTAATCAGGACTTCTCTTCCTTAGAAGGCAGTGGGGGGCTTTAAGTAACAATTTTTTTTCCTGTCATACAGGTATTTGTAGATTCAGAGCGAAAAAATCTGAACACTTATGTAACACATTGTTCTCTCCGGGGGTGGGAACCCTCCAGTACTTTTCACTTTTTCACTGTATTCTTCTAGACCGTTTGAATATTTTATGAAGAGCATGTTTTGCTTCTTTTTTTTTTTTTTCCATTTTAAGTATGTAAGTAATTGAAAAGCCGATTCTTGGGGCGCCTGAGTGGCTCAGTCGGTTCCGCGTCCGACTTCGGCTCGGGTCATGATCTCATGGTTCATGGGTTCGAGCCCCGCGTCGGGCTCTGTGCTGACAGCTCAGAGCCTGGAGCCTGTTTCAGATTCTGTGTCTGTCTCCCTCTCTGCCCCTCTCCCACTCACCTCTCTCTCTCAAAACTAAATAAATATTAAAAAATTAAAAATAAATAAGCATTAAAATATTAAAAAAAAGAAAAGCCAATTCTTATTTTTAAAAATTAATATAATCCATATAAGGCAACAGGCTTCCCTGAAATTCCTGCCACCATTCTGACCCCCTCCCCAGAGGGCAACACTGATATTTTTAGACAGGAATCTTTCCAGACTCTTCCAATGGGTTTGTATACACATGTATGTGAAGAGGTGTAGGGCTGTGTCTTTAGGAATCTATTTATATAAATGTGATCATATTGTTCGTATTTTTATCTTTTTTTTTTTTTTTTTTTTTTTTTTTTAACCCAACAGCATGTGTGGAAGGACTCTCCCTGTCGGGACATCTAGACATCCCTCATTCTCTCCCATCAGCCGTGTGACATTGCAGAGTATGGTTCTGACATAGTTTACTTAATCATTTTTCTGTTGAAGGACATTTAGGCTGTTTCCAGTTTTTGCTATTACAAACAATGCTTTGATAAACACCCTCTTTATGCTCGTGTACGGGCGTTTTTTCTAGGCTGGATAACGAGTCGCAGAATTGCTAGGTTGAAGGGCATGTGCACTTCTAATTTTAAGAGATACTGCTGAATTACTTTTTACAGCCAGAAAAGGGCACTAACAATAAAGAACGAGAAGCAAAATGGCCCTGAGTTCCCATTCCCTGCCTCCCCGGCAGAACACTAAGTCGATCGGTGTTAAAGGGGCAGCACGGCCGCGTTTGCTAAGCAAGCAGCCCCCGTGGTGGCACCGACGCCCCTTCCCCCGCTGCCGGCTCCCCACAGCTCCGCCCCAGCGCTCCCCTCTCCCTGCTGCAGGTTCAGCCCTTACGAGTGGTACGATGCGCATCCCTGCAACCCTGGCTCCGAGGTGGTGGAAAACAACTTCACTCTGCTCAACAGCTTCTGGTTCGGCATGGGGTCCTTGATGCAGCAAGGTATGTGGCCTCTCCCCAGGGGCCTCCACTCCAGGAGGGGGTACCTCCTCTCCTGAGTCCGCAGAGCCTGCCCACCTTCCAGGGCAGCCTCAGACCTGCTAAGCTGCCAGCAGGTTGGAGACACCTGGATAGTCAGGTGTGTACCCTTGTCTCGGGTCCCTGGCTGAACTGGCTCAGGGCCTGAGGCGAGAGCAGATAAGCCAGCCCACCCGTGGCGTGCAGGGCTCATCCCTAGCTTCTCCTGCTCTAGCTGCAGTGGACATAACAGCATCCTGCTTCTGGGGGCCAGCCCCACCGATGGCCTCGCCACCTTAGACTCTGGCTGAGCAACGCTGAGCTGAGAATGGGCCAGACTGGAGGCAGGGAGGCAGGGCGGGAGGTCACCGCAGCAATGAAAGCATGAGACCTGAACTGGAGTCGTGGCCGTGGGCGTGGAGCACAAAAATGCACCAAGAGAACTTCAGGATGTCGCAGGGACGGGACTTGGTGACCACCCAGCCCTGGGGAGCCTGGGAACCGGAAGGGTCCTGGCTGAGGTGGGGACATTAGCCTGAGCGCGTCAGGGAAGGTATGCGCGGAAGGATACCGTTTTCTTTCGTGTTCTAGAGTGGGGGGGGCTGGTGTACCGCACCTGTCGCCAGCCTGGTGGCCTCTCCTTTGGCCAGATCAGCAGCTGCTCAGACGTCTCCCAAAGCAGAGTACCTGCACGGGCTGCAAGGAGCGTGGTGCAGACACACCACGGGCTGAAGCGCGCGTGCAAGGAGAGGAGCCCCCAGGCAGGAAACGCTCCCGGGGAGGACCCCACCACCGCCGCCCTGCGAGCCAGCCTTGCTGGCCAGGAGCCACGTGCTCCTTGCTTCTGCCTGTCGAGTCACACATCTAAAGCCTCTTAATTCAGGGAATGAGGTGTTGGGGGGGAGTGTGGAACCAAAATCTCTGCCTATGTTAGGGTCCCACTGTGGGAAGGTGGGTGACAAGGGGGCAAGGAAGGGAAGGAGATCCCAGGGGCAAGAATTCTCTGTTCCTCACTCACCTGTGTGTGCTCGCGAGGCCCACTACAAACCCTGGTCCTCGGTAGACCTCGATCAGCGAATGCCGAATGAATGGTATCATCCCAGCGTGTCCTGAGTGACCGCTACGTGCCAAGCCCTGTGCTGGGCACTAGAATGGAAGAAGAGGAGAGAGAAATCTGCCCCCGGCTCGAACGATCTCCCAGCCACGACAGAGGCCAGTCAGGGGCCCGGGTAGGGGTCCAGCAGGGCCTGGCAGAGTCCAAGGAAACAAGGAAAACAATTCATTCTCCCTCTTGGGGGGGGGGGGCAGCCCTCGCCATAGCTGGGAGCTATCTGATGAGGCTGGGTGTGGCCGGGTGGGGAAGGGAGCCTCAGAGCTCCCAGTGGTCTCCAGAGCTGGGAAGCGACAGGCGGCTTTTGACGGCAGTGTCTCTTTCAGTCCTCACTATTAATGAGTACCCTGAAGCCTCACCTTGCTTCTTTGTCCATCGTTATCTTTTCTCAGTGACAGTTGGGAAAGACCTGGAAAGCCCCTCAATGCAGTAATAGCTTCTCTCCAGCTGCTATTCAAAGCATGGGCCCCTGATGTATTCCCCACGAGGTTTTGATTAGGAGGGAGAAAAATAGTTATGTATTTGAAAAACTCTCCTTTGAGTGATTTCTTTGAGAAAAAAAAAAAATCATCCATATCAAAGCAGACACTTTTCAGATTGCAGGTCCAAACATTCTGGGAAGTTCAGGAGTCACTTGCTATTTAAATCTCTTGAAAGCCGCCTCGTTAATTACTTCAGTTAGAAGGTTTCATCTAAATTGTGCTCGGCACCCAAGGTCAGGGAGGAAGAGTGATCTATTTCGGCAAAAAAGCTTCAAAAAATGTTGATTTTCTCCTCCTGCGAAGCACCACCCAGCAATCCTGTGTTTGTGTACCGCTTGTATTTCCAACACACTTTCTCCTCCAGTTCTATCGCGCTATTTGTGCGAGGCTGGGACAGAGGAAGGACAATTCTCCGTGCTTTGCAGTGTTCCAGAGGGGGAAAGCGTCTGGCATAATCACACAGAGTTAGGAGCATGATTCACTCAGGAACCCAGGGCTTTCTACTCGGAACCTGGGACCCCAGGGGGCTGACAAGCCTGTGAAATGGTGTGCGTGTGCGTGTTGTTCTAGAACAGTGGTTCTTAAATTTTAGCCTGCCCCAGGATCCCCTAGAGGGCTCACCAGACCCAGACTGTGGCACCCCATCCCTCAATGACTGATTCAGTAGGTCCTGGGAAGGGGCCCGGGGACGTGCCCGTCTAACCAGCTCCCGGGTGATGCTGAGGCTGCTGGTCTAGGGACCACACTGAGAACTGCTGCTCAGCTCTTACTGGATTATCAGTGGAGTCTGGGCCCCAGAGGACTTGAGCAGCCCTAGACATTGTCAGGGACCGCCTGCCCTCTCCATTCTCCCAGGGTCGGAACTGATGCCCAAAGCCCTGTCCACGCGCATCATCGGCGGCATCTGGTGGTTCTTCACGCTCATCATCATCTCCTCCTATACGGCCAACCTGGCCGCCTTTCTGACCGTGGAGCGCATGGAATCTCCCATCGACTCTGCTGATGACCTGGCCAAGCAAACCAAAATCGAGTATGGGGCTGTCAAAGACGGGGCCACCATGACCTTCTTCAAGGTGAGACCCTCCCCCTCCCTTGCAGCACCACAAGCTGACCCTCCCATGCCCTTCACTGTCCTTCCCTAACTGCACAGAATCCATGGGCCAGGAACCCCCGGGGGGCTCAGGCCCGGCCTGTTTGAGACCGATTGGTTTCAGGGAGCTTTGATGACGTGGCCACCTGAGTTGGTCCCGGCACAGAGCCTACACGTTGTCACCCCTGGGACAGGCAGGGTAAATGTGCTGTTCTCTTAAATCGTCACAGGTGGGAGGATGAGACTGGAAAAGGGGAAGGAGAAGCGTGGCCCGGACACCCAAACGGGGGCCTGGGCAGTGGGCTCCCTGCGCCTGGCTTAGGGTCTTCATGACCTCCATCTTCCAAGAGGCTGCCCTGCACTTGGAGGTGAGCTCTCCACCGCGGAGAGCGTGGCCGGGGGCACGTCCTCCAAGGAAGGGAGGAGGTTAAAACTGGAACAGGTGTCTATAAACATTTCTTAGTGTATTACACTCTTGGAATGCCGGTGTCCGGATACAACCCCTGCCACCTGCTACGGTCACTGTCCTGAGGGGCATCCAGCCATGGCCTCCCTGCTCCTCCTGTAGGGTGTTGGCTCAGTTCCCCCAGGGTTTCCACCTCCTACCAGAGTAGCTATGGTGGAGGAGACTGACTGACCCTGAGAACCAGCAAATGTTCTTCTGGAAATTAAAGTAAAAACAACAGCGGCCACCGCTGAGAGCTCACAGTGGGCCAGACTAGCGGCTTGGCTTCACTGAATCATCAGAACAAGGCCTGTGAGGTGGGAACCACAACTATTTCCACTTTGCACGTGTGGAAACTGAGGCTCAGAGTGATTAAGCAGGTTGTTCAAGAACTCAGAGCTGATGGACCCAGGTCTGCCTTCCTCCAAAGCCCACGTTCCAGGCCATTTGTTCTTAGACTGGAATATGCATCCAAATCACCTGGAAGGCTTGGGGAAAACCCAGATTCCTGGGCCCCGCCCTTGGAGTTTCTGGTTTTGTAGGTCTAGGGCAGGGCCACGAATGTGCATGTGTAAGGCATTCCCAGGTGCCACTGGTGGTGGTCCAGGGACCACACTTGGAGAACCACTACTCTAAGGGTTTCTCAGAAATGGTTAGGATTCGGGAACTCGGGGACTGTAGGTCTAGGCATCCATCCATTTATTTATTAGTCACTTGCTCTCAATCAGTCTGGAACCCTGGGCCCTGGTTCCCCATCCCCCCAGCTCTTGGGTCCTTCCACGCTAAGCCTCTGAGGGATGAGTTGAGCCTCCAGAGGGGCCTGAGGGAGGAGAGAGGAAGGAAGGAGAGGGCGGGGAGGGAAAGCCTCTACCTCCTGGAACCCCACCAGCACTGGCCCCTACCCTGGCCTCCCCTGTGTCCCTCCTTGAGGGACAGCAGATGTTTAGTGAAGAGGAAAGAGAGGAAAAGGGATCCCCTTGTGAACATCGCTGCTGCCACCAAGAAGTGGCAAATGTGGCCTTCCTGAGAGGTCACTATCATGCATCTGGTGCGAGGAGTATATAAAAGTGTCGCAGGCATGCTGGGGGCTCTCTGGGACCCCGTGTAGGTGTTCATGAGTGTGGGTAGTATGTGAGCATGTGTGTGCCTGCGTGTGTGTATCATAGTATATGGTACACATAAACGTGCATTTAGGCACGTATGGGTGCACACAGGTGCCCGTGTACAAAGTCTGCCTGTGCAGGTCTATGTGCATCTTGGTGCTCGGACATAAGCGTTTGCATAGATCTGTGGGCGTACGGGCGAGCGTATGCGTGCGTGTATTTCTGTGGTCTGGGCATGTGGATGTGTACACAGGTGTATACGCCAGAATGTCTACGTGTGTGTGCATGGAGATTATGTGTGTGCGTGTCTGCTTACATGTCCCCGTGGGTGTGTCTAGACAAATGTGAGCATGGGGGGGTGGACCTCTGTGTCAGCCCATGCGTGTATGTGTGTCATAGCTTGTATGTGTGCATAATGGCCCCTGCACACATGTGTGTCTGTGTGCATGTGTCAGCAAGTGTATGTCATGGTCCGTGCATGTGTGTGTGCCTCATAGCCCCTGCGTGTGTGTGCCTCATAGCCCCTGCATGCATGTGTCTGCATGTGCGTGTGATGGTTCACACATACGTGTGTGTGTATGTGTGTGTGTGTGTGTGTGTGCTGGTGTGAGTGTGCTTGCTCGTGCCAGTCCCCAGGCTGTGGCCCAGCCCTTTGTGCCCAAGCATCTCTCATGCATTACACATGAGCCCATCTCTGAGCAGGGCTCCCGATCAAAGGGAAGCGGCATAAATAAGGCCGGTGCAGGCTCATTGCCGCTGATTGGATGCCCTTGCCTCCCTCCATGCTAAGATGCTCAGATTGGCTGCCAAGAGCCTAGTTCCAGCTCCCCGCCGAGCCTCTGTCCTCAGCATCAAGCAGCACCCCCGGCAGCCTGCTCCGCCCTCACGCACCTTCCCTGCAAACAGTGCAGTGAGGAGGGCGGGGGAGGGACACAGATGCTGTCACCCAGCTGGGATGCTGGGGCACGAGGGCCCATGCTCACAAGGGCCGCCGGCCAGAAACAGCAACTCGCATCTCCTGCGGGACCAACTCCACTTTCCTGCTCTCCTGATCACCAATTAATTCCTCTGGATGTCTGGCTACGTTGCCTCCTGCTTTTTTTTTAATGTTTATTTTTGAAAGAGAGAGAGAGACAGAGTGCAAGACAGGGAGGTGCAGGGAGAGAGGGAGACCCAGAATCCAAAGCAGGCTCCGGGCTCTGAGCCGTCAGCCCAGAGCCCGACGCGGGGCTCGAACCCACGAACCGCGAGATCATGACCGAGCCGAAGTCGGACGCTCAACCGACTGAGCCACCCTGGCGCCCCTACATTGCCTCCTGCTTTAATCCAAGCGCA